TGAACAAAAGTGATAGAGGTAGGAGTACAGTACACCAGGTATGATATCATGTCAAATATTAATCAAGTCAAGTCAAGTCAAGTCACGTGAACATTAATTAATATTTTAATTATTCAGGATAGTAGGTAAGATAACCTTCTACATCTGCATAATACAAATCTTATCCTGAAAACAATCAGTTTATATATTATTATATGAATTGAAGTCCCTTATTCCCAATATTTATGAATCTTGCGTGTCTAATTCAGCCCTACAATGGCAAAATGCAGTAACTCCTTTTTTGAACCTTTGGAATCAGAATTTCAAGCTCTATTTGATAGGATATGTCCTAACAATCATTTAACAATACTTATTGAGATTAGTAGGTGACAGAAGGCACTAACTCCATAACTATTGAAAATATTTTCAATTGAAAAAGGCAGTATCTGCTTTTATATATATAGGAAATGTGAGACAAAGCAAAAAGGCAGTAAGTGTATAGAAAAATTTAAAGTGCAGTTTTCTCAAAATGTAAAAAAATGTCTTTACTGCCTTTTGCCATTATAGGGCTGAATTGAGTGCGTCATGCAATGTCACACCAGAAATTAGGGTCAGGTATTATTCTTCATGAATGTGACATTGAATTAGCTTGGCAAAAAATGAAATTGCTTAACCACGTTTCTCGGAGTGTTTGCATAGACAAGTTTGTAAGGTTTCGAGACAAGAATTGAATGTGACTATGGGGGAAAAACTTTCTTCTTTCTTCTGACCAAATGGTAATCGTGGGATACAAATATCGATTATGGTCGTTATCGGTACAAGTATGACAAGACCTGTATTATCTGACAGTCACTCAAGCATGAAAACAGGTTTAGTTGATATGGAATTATCATTAACCTGTTAGCTTCAGACAATACAGAGGTCAGCACCGTGAAATTGGTTTCCGCTCAATGATGATCTGTCACTCAAGGTCAGGTTAAATCGATTCTTGGGATTTTCAATGAGCTTCGAAATACTTGTAGAACATGTAAGCTTCATACACTTTTTTACATTTCGTAGGTTCAAATTATAGTCATTGGAGTAGCCATCCAAAATAGATAATATGTTGGTGATAATATGGGTTTTCCAGGACGTCTCCTTTCAAATGTCCTTGTTCGATTTTCATAGTCGCACATCGTTTAGTTGTGTCCTGTAATATGGGTTATTATGATTCCATGTTGACCAATTATCATGTAGTGTATGGTGATATTGACTGACAAAGTCAAGACCAGAATCGTATTAACTCTATTAGCGGTCAAGTTGGTATTATATTGACCAAAGGTACTTGAGGCTAATTAATGTCCAGGTTTCAGTGATTGAGAGCTAGCTACTTAAAACGTTTTACATATTTAAAACTTGTATTGAATGAAATAGAATTGTTACATGGAATTTCTATGCGTGACTTGTTTTTGATTTTCTTCTTACTGCACTTAAAGCCAATCTGAATAGATAGGAATTTTGATTGCAACCAGATTGCGTAATATTGATTATACCATAAAAAAGGAGTTTCTTCTACATTGAATTGGAATTGTGCCTAAATATATATATCTACCCAAAATTGATATTAGTTCTTTGATATTTTAAGTGTCTCTTCAATATTTATTCTAAGAGGCAATGTATCTTTAATATTTGTTGTATTATAAAGTGACAATGTTTCAGCATCAATAACTATAACTATAAAGGCAAAAGCTTGCATGTGTTCTTTATTTTCGGAATATAATTACTGTAGAAATCAGATATGCTTGGATGAATTATATATGAGTATAGTGGTTGTCTTTCTTGGTTGCTAGACTACAACTACATGCTCGTATGTGCTCAGACAATCATTTGTGTTGCCGTTGTAGGGGAATCTGTAATCTTCAGACCCTTTTATAATTTTTATACAGTACTTACAAGCTTGTAGTTCCTCTTAAAGCATAGACCAACAGTCCAAAAGAGTCCTAGATCCTGGACGGCCCTTTCTAGTTGTTTCGCCGATTTGTCGCCGCCCTGTCTTCCGTTTTACCAGAGGGTTACACGACAGCACCCCTGTCTGGTGATGCTACCAGCCGGCTTCGCACAGTGTGCACATTCCACCGTTATCTTATGTGACGGGTCTCGTCTTCGGTAGTCAGTGAGTTGGCACGCTGTCACAGGTCCGAGTTGCTGATGATTTTGTGCTAGTGGATCTGGTAGATTATTTTCACAGCTGTTGATGCCTGCACTTTACTGGTGAGGGCCTTCATGTCCCGACAATGTACACTAGCATTACCTTATACTTGCTGTTGAACTGTTCGCTGTGCTTCAAAAAAAATATTACACTTCTCTCTGACCCTCCCAATGCTTTCAATCCATCAAAACCATGTGTTGGTGCCTTCAGGGGTTTCAAGATCAGCATGCAAATAGTGCTGTAGTACTCTTTTCTGATTCTTGAAATGGTTTTGTCTTTAATCGAGGTATAAACGTATCATAAATTGAATCAATATATTATCAATGCTAAGAAGTAGGCAGACGAATGGCTATCCATTGTTCTTCTAGATTAGCTGTCAATGGTATCATTTCCTTTCAGAAATGAAACCAAGAAATACATAATTAATAAACACTCTCGAAGGCACATTGACACGTATTGTTCAAAACGATTTGTCATTAACTATGAATTTCAAAATATCCTCCGTTTTGGGGGATTATAGCAAATCGACCCTGGTCGATTACCCCTTATATTTTTTCTTTGATTGTAAACGAACCGTACGTAAGTAAATTTTGGCTCTATCACCAGATAGTCATATGAGCAAAGCACGTGACAAAGCAAAAAAATTAGGTGACTATGTCCTTATTATATACAACAATGTGTGTTATTGGTGTTCTTTAATTGATCGAACTGATGATCATTATTAGTCCAACTAGAAGTATAATTATAAATATCCATTTCATATTTTTTATTAAATTTAGCTTAGTTATTTATTGTCCTAATTTCCCTGCTGAAGCATCATGAATCTAACCAGCTCACAAGTGGCTATAACAAGATCCTTTATTGTTTGGATGACTAAGTGTCTATGGGAATTCCTGTAACATAAGGGTTAAATTTATTGCTCTGGAACTAAAGTGGGAAAATTTCATTAAGATTGACTCGACGTTAAGAACTAATTAATGATTAAGGTTAATTAAATTCCATTGATTATGCTAATATAGTCCAGATGGTATTTGGTCAGCATGTCTGTCTATTGCTTGTCATAACTTGATTAGGGACTGTGGAAATTCAATCGTTTACATTCGAATATGACAATGTTTTAAAGTAGCACAAAGCCAATATTTGAAATGTCCAAATCATAGTAATGTTGCAATGGAGGGTTGGAAATATAGCCAATGTTGATTCAAAAGAAGATAAACTAATAGAGGACAAAACACATATACATACACATCTCGGCTTCAGAAGATCTGTTACAAATCTTTAGAAATCATGTGCAGATATCCTTACCATCTTCTCAAGTGTTTGGCTGAGCTGGCATGTAACGTTTACGATTTAGTCCCCAAAATACCCCCAAATACTTGACTACAAAGGATTGCCTGTGGCTAGTGATCGTAGATATCTTGTTCCCATACTCGGCATTTTCCTCGATTTGATTCGCTAGAAATTAAGACCAAGGTCAGACTCTGACATATTTTCTGAAGTGTTTGGTTCACAAGGTGTTTTGCGACCACGAAATAAAGTGATCTGAGTGCAACACTACTAAAACTCTTAAGGATCCTTTTATTCACGTGAGGTCACAGATCAGACGATTATGAGTTTTCCATTAGCTTCACTACCATACTTTAGATAAGGCATCTCTATTCGACTTCAGAATAGACTTCTCTCAAATTATGGTAAATCTCATACACAATTTCCAGTATTATCATTTTTTTGGTCTACAATTTGCAAGGATAAGTCGAACAAATGGTGGTCGTTGTGAGATCGTATCTCCGTTTGTGTGTGCGAGGCCTCATTGTTATAGCCGACCCAGTTGTAGAAAGGTGTGGCTTTTCTGAAAAGTA